AAAACAATGCTTCCAAGTAATGGTCAGAAACTACCAAAACCTGCAGACGCCCATACGTAGCTTATGTCCTTGTTGATATTCTTTTGCTTCCGAACCTTTTAGCCGGCTGATCACCCAAGATGGCGTTCCTTACAAGATTGGTGTATCTGCTAATCGTGTTAAGCATAGCCGCAGATCTTCTCTCTTTGAGAGACTACTTGCTCAGCACTGGTCGTCGTGATGGTGACCCCACTGCAGTACAGTCCTCTTTGTTCGTTCCTGGGGCTTCGGCAATTGGGCCGATTGTTAGGGCTCTTACTAAGAGCGCAATAAAAGCCCTTAAGAAAAAAGCCAAGGCGGCAGCTAAAAAAGCAGGCAACGCAAGAAAGAAAGGACGAAAAGGTATGTTACTACTGCACTTCTTGGTAAATTACTTCCCCTTGTTTTTCATTTGCAGCTTGATTATTGAATGCGCCAAGTGCCCTACGAACAATCTGATTTTATGCAAAGAGTATACCGGCTGCACCCGGCAAAAATCTTTGGCCTTTTATTGTAGCCATGTGCAAATATATAACAGTTTAAGGGGCCAAGTTCAATTGTCTAAAAAGATTCACAAATAACAGTTTGATCCCATAACATGTGATCGAGATGTGCCTTTATTGGGGCAGCAACGTTGTTAATCAAACTCGGTTTCTAAAAGCTTCAGCTATTAGGCAAAACAAAAAAATATATGTTAACAACAAAAAAGTGTCTCCTGAGCAAAGTAAATCAAACTCAAACAAATTAAGATAAACGTTGAAAGAGGTTTCGTTGGAATTAAGGGGATTCAAGAGTACTCGAATATAATTCCTTTAAGTCGTTCCAGTTTTGCTTGCTCCCTCTTGACTTTGTGTAATTTCCTTCGTGTTCTTCTCTAGTTTTGAGGGGTTATTTAGATTAGGTACAATGCCCAGTGTGTGGGTTCTGAAATGCTAAAATTGCGTGACACGTGGTCCCCTATTGATGATGTATTGATAAAGTTAGGAGAAAATTGATGTTGGTCACTTATGCAACTTTTAAAAAGGGCTAATGGGGACAACGTGCCACGCAATTTTAGCTTTTTAGAACCCACACACCGGGCATTGTACCTAATCTAAATAACCCCTCAAAACTAGAGAAGAACACGAAGGAAATTACACAAGGAATTCGTTGTCCATGCATTTTCTTAACCTTTTCTATTGATGATGTATTGATATAGTTAGGAGAATTAAGAAAATGATGCTTTGCTCTTTTATCAAATTCTCTCAACTGATTCTTTAAGAAAATGAATGGCCATCATTGTATGTGGAAATTGGGGCTAAATTGGCTATTAAACTATATCGTCCAGTTATTTCCAATTTCACGACATTCTTACCTCCACGCACACAGGTTATGAGCAGATGTTTTCTTTGCAAATATCTTTTAAAAGGGAGTTGAAATCCTGCGAGTGGTTTTTTTTATATATATTTGTGCTATCCTTTTGAGGTAGTAGTTAACCTTCGCATTGCTCATGCCTAAAATCTTCGGCTTTTTTGGAGCCCCGCACTGCCAAAAACTGCTGAGCGGCCTCCACCTCACATTGTCTTTTCTTGATGTCCATTGTTCGATACTTTTTTCCATAATTCGACGAATGACGTTAATCGTTGAGTAACAGGAAAATCAGCGCTACCTGGTTATGGAAAATTAGCCGAAGCATTTAAACCAATTTAGAAACGGAGAAATATTTATATTTTGAATCAATAACAATGATGTACTTCTTAAATCTGTTAACCAAATCTATCGTATCACGGTGAGAACTTTCATCATCATGGTACCATTTTAAATTTTGGGTTATACCGAAATCAATCAGTTTTTTGTTGATTTTGTTAAATTGATTTATACTTTCGATTTTTGTTGACACAAGAAAAGGAATTACTAGATTGGGGTGGGAGGCAATAGGGTCATGATTGGGCCGTTGAAAAAAATGTATATAAATAAGTAAATAGTAGGGTCCCTGGTTTCACCTGACCGATTTACCTATGCATGACGATGTTGTGGTTATGTCTGATTTCAGAGCACACTAAAAATGCACGAAAAAGCACCAAGAACAAGCACCAGAAAGGACAAGCTCGACAACAAAGAGAACAAAGCAAGTCCAACAAGAAAAAGGGATAGACTTTATCTGATGAGGGATAAGGTCCATATAATATGAAGGATATAAAAGGAGAATAAAGTAGTTAAGCTTTGCTAAAACGGACTGGTTGTTTGTTTTTACTAAAAGTGAGATTCACTGAAATCCGGACATTTCCATTTTAAAAATCGAAGGTGAAATCCGCAAGCAGATTTCGTGTATGAAGATTTGAATTGATATCCTGATCCTAGTTGTCCTTATGGTTCGCAAACTAATACCATAACCCACAGCGATTCTCACGTTGACGTCACCTATACTGATATTAAATAAATACGTGACAAAGTATACACGTGTAAGTTGTGTAAAAAATCATACCGTAAGAAAGCAGTTTTTTAACTGTTATATATTTGTAAAAGGACAGCTTTTTTAGAAAAAGATATTTTGTAGAAAAACGATCATACACTGAATGAGTTACTGGCGAATTCAGCTAGTGTTCAAATTAAAGTTGTTCAGTCTTAAAAGCTTTTTCTGGCATTTTTCTCAGTCTGTAAAATAAAACACACATTGGCATACGTTACACACCGCTTTTATAGTCCCTAACTCCTTAAGAGCTATAAACAATTATTAGATGAGGTTTTTGTGATATCCGGAATAATCACTCAGGTAGACGTAAGTGTTATCAGCCGTGCAGAAGACCGAGGCTCATAACACTAACCGAGACCTTGATTATTTAGGATATCACAAAAACCGAATCTAATAATTGTTTTATTATACATTGTTTTGAAGAAAATAACACACCTTCGCAAGGAACCTGAATTGATTCTGTTATAGGAAATCATGCATTGCAGCGCGCAAAAGTTCACACACTCCCATTACAACCAGACCTGAGCGCAAAGTTAAAAGGCCACAAAGACTCACTGAATCTTTTTAGGCGGAAAATGTTTACTTTTAACTTTGGAACCTGTAACGGGAGGACGCCCCGTTAGGCTCAGGGGACCCCTGACTGTTTTGCGTGCACGCCCGATATTGGGCCACCATGAGCGTTGCGTTTTTGACATGCTTAGCGGAACTGGTTCTTGAACATGCTAGAATAGTTTCAGTTGTTTAGCTTTAAGGTTTTTTTGACTGATCTTACAACAATTACATTACACTAACACTTGAGTAACTATAAACAATTTTGAAAATTAATATTCTATTGTATCTCATTAACAGCATACTGGAGAAAGGAAACTAGTAGCAAAACGAACGGAGCTATTTGTGCTTTTATTTCTTCTTTTAATATTTTCTGCAGTTTTTTGCTAATCTTTTATCAGCATATTTTCCAAAGAAAAAAAACACATTATACTTTTTGGCGTTATTTCAGAAAACTTCGAGAACTGATAGTGGCATATTATGCTACTTTTTCGAGGACAATCTATCAAAACCTCGCTTAATATCAGTCACCGATTGGACATGCTTTGCTTTTTTGCAGGGTCTGTTGAATCACCTTCCTTCATTCTTGAGAAAATCAAATGGAGCATTTTTATTTTTGCGTCTTAATGATTCCGCTTCCTCCCCCGAAATTGATCCGTTTCCAGGGGCGATTTTTTGCGCGTGTAGACCAGCGGTGATTTCATGACTACTCTTTGCGCGAGAGCTAACAATTGTAACAAAGACAGATCCAGGACGATAAGTGCTTTCATTACAGAAGCCTATGGAAATCGCTGCATAAAGATTACAAAAATTGTGACAAAATTGCCAAACTTATAAATGGCGCCTAAAATTGCCGCTAGGTGAACCGCTGAAACGTTTCTTTAATTTAAAGTAAAGCGGCAAAAGTTGCGAGAAATCCCTCCTCACCGAGAGCCATTTAACTTTGGGCCGCGGGGCAGAGACTATTTACTCGACATACATTGACTTTGTTCGCTGAGTAATGGACCTGTTGTGGGAAATGGGTCTGTTCTGTTCTTGAAACAGAAAGGAGTTTATCGGTTTTTACTGAACAGTTATTGAGTTCATCTGGGTGCGAGCCGAAGCAAATGAAATCTTTTTTTTTTTTTTTCATTTTTTTGGCCATCCCCTTTTTTTACGTTTAACGTCGAATGCATTTCCTGATATTGGATCGGTCGGTCGGATTGAAAAAGAGAAACCTACCAAAATATCACAACAGGTCTCTAAATAGGAGGCGCTGGTAACCCAAGATGACGTAAGTTAACATTCACATATTTGGATTAACAAAACGCGTAATATATTGTAAAAAATATTCCCATTTTTCTCTATGCTGTTACTATGTTCATTATTTAGATTAAAAGAATTATTTCAAGTGAAAAATGGTTTAGTTACCCCGTTACTTTTTTTCTTGAAAATGCCAAAAATTTGGGTCGGTCGGACGACGCTAAACGGAGAAAAAAAAAAGAGGATAGCCTTACCAGTTTTCGTTCAAATTGTCTCGTCCATTTTGCTAATATTGTAAAAACGTTTTTTCATGACGGCATATATTCCTATAACCAACTTTAAACTGATGAACCGTGAGGAGTCGGCTATTCGTGACCTCATGATCAGTTTTTAATGTCATTTCTTCAGAAAGAAAAGCTTGTAGTTAAAGGTCATCCCCCGGGCTACTCAGTATGAGAAAGTGCCTGCGAAAGTAGTCTCCTGTGCTTATATAGCTCTAGGAGCCTGTGATGGCCTAAACTGATTGATGATGATAAGTAAACAAACGATAACCGAACACAGGTGATCAGAAGTAGAACCAGATTACATTACCCCTAAAACATTTCACTCATCCCTTATCCCTTAAATTATTTGTCTAGTTATCCCTCAGGTGTCCCCAAAAACCTCAACAGGGCCCAGCTTGAGCCCGCGGTCGGTTTTCATGGAACAAAAAATACCTTAAGTACATGCGCCCTGTCATCAAAACAAAATGGTGGATGTCAAGGAACTTTGTGAAGATGGGTACAGATTAGCTATTCAAGCCGTAGATTTAGACAAGATCGGCAGCGGAGATGCCGCGGCATTTTTCTACATTGAAGCTGCGGAAGCTCTTTTAAAAGCATTGTCGTATGATCCGAGTTTGGACGTGAAGGACAAGGCTTCGCAGTACATTAGGAGAGCGGAAGAACTTCGTTCATTGGAACAACAACAAGGTATTAATCAACAGAAAGTTAATTACGCTTACCTTTGTAGGAGCTACAAGGGAACTCAGTTATTTGATAGTTACCAAGTGTAAAACTCTCAAATCAAATCAGCTCTCGCTATCTTCTGTCCAGTTGTATGATTTTTAACATAAAAAATTGAAGTTCACAATTTATTAGGAAGTGTTTCTGGCAATCAATAAATAAATCAATCAATTTATTTGCCCTTTTTTTCATCTAGTAATTACATAGTCTTATAATTAAAATATACTTGGGCAGGAACTCTCAGCAAACCCTGTAGGGCTTTCCCAGGAGAGCCCCTGGACAAGTTTTATACAAGTTTGATTTTAAGTTAAAATTACATGTCTGTGTTTAGATTACCAATCTTGGGCATTTTTAAAAAGCCTTTGTGTTTACAGCCCCAAAAGAAAGTACTGCACCATTCACTGACAGTCTTCCTCAGGTGTTGAGGTCATGTGATCATGCATTACCTTTGATATCACAATGATCAACTATGATTGGTGCATTTTATGCCTTTTTGCTTCCTGGAGTAGCATGTACACCAACTCTCCCAAATTTATTGCCTGAAAAAGAGTTCACCACAAGCTTAAATTACTCTGGAAAACAAAAACATGGGTAAATTTATTAGTGCAGTTGAGCAAAAAGCCAGCTTGACTAATAAAAAAGCCTGCATAGCTTAGAATCCCTGATGTGCACCATGAATTTCACTTCCACTAGGTCCCTGTTGATTGGAGTAGTAATACCAGGCTTCATAAATTAGCTTAATCACTTTGCAAAGTGGATATTAGAGACCTTAAGATACACTGTTTCTGTTTACAGGTACGGGAAAATTACCCGTACCTGTAGCCGTTAATACGTGGTAGATGGCTTCTTACCCTGGACAATGCATGGCTAGGCTACTGGGTAGAACGATTATTCCATTATCACATCTTGGAAATTATCATTGCCTTTATTATGACTACATGGCAAACGTGTTCGGCTATATGTTAAGGTCCCTAACAGCCAGTCTGGTAAATGTACTCAGCAACAGCAGAGATCTAAGAAAACGCTAGTTGTAATACTATATCCATCATGTGGTCTTTACATGTAAGCCCACAGGCAGCCCAAGCGCACTATTTGTGGGTTCGGGCTTCAGAGGTCATTTGGTGGGAAATACTAGAATTATTAGTGTATTATCTGATGCCAAATAAATGCAAAAAGTCTTAAAGATATGAAGTCTTCTTGTTTGTCTATCGGTACTAGTAGCCTTTAAGATAACGAAAATCGATATTTCTTGCATTATTACATGCGATTCGGGCCCTTATTGATCGAATTTTATCACATGTATTCGAATCTACAACGCTAAGGGAAAAAAAATCATGATCACGCGAAATATTGATTCAAAAAGCTCCCTTACCTTTCGTTCATAGCCACTCTGTGTCCTACGGCTGGTTTAAACGCCGTTTAGTCGACTTTCTTTCCATCGAGTACTGAACACTATAAAAGAAGGGAAGGCTGGAGACCTTCCAATTGACCCTCGCCGCTCGAAGGCCAATAAATTCCAAACAAAGCGACCGATCTCCCTAAAATTGCCACCAGCCAGACCGAAGAGTGTACACCTACCCGTTCGACGAGCGCCAGGTTCTAAATTGGCTGCATGAGCTCGAGGATCGTTGCATTTCGCGATCGATTCTGGCCAGCTTCGCCCGCCATGATGCGCAATCTTAACTGTTATCCCACGAGATTCAAATCTTGGAGCTTGGCGACGGCGTCAGATGGACAAAACGTCACTCTCGCGGGGGGGGGTCGTCACTTTTGCCCTATCGCAAACCGACACCGTCCGGGGGCGGTGCGTTTAATTGGCGAAACAGCTCACGCGTGTATGACACATGAAACCCAAAAACGTCCCAGACTGTCTTTATTATTTTCCACTCTTCTGAATAGCCAAAAGATTTCCTTTTCTTCTTCGGAGGAAAATCCTCCTCTTGTCTGGCTACTTTTGAGAACATCGTTATCAACAGACTTTCTTCAAACGCTAGACACAGGCACCAAAATACACGCAATCACCTCAGGAACCAAAATACACGCGATTTTACTAACAAACAAGCTACGTGTAAAAGAAAAATATATTTTAGGGTAGCTCTGAAAAGAACTATAGTTAAAATACGAAAGGAAATATCGAACTTGAACAGAACAGACCCAAACAACGGACTGCAACGAACTGATTTTGGAACCATTATTGGCAAGATTTAATCTCAAATCGGAGATAAGACAGTCTGGGACGTTTTTGGGTTTCATGTGTCATACACACGTGAGCTGTTTCCGGCCGAATTAAACGCACCGGCTCCCCGGACGGTGTCGGTTTGCGATAGGGCAAAAGTGACGACCCTCCCCCCGCAAGAGTGACGTTTTGTCCATCTGACGCCGTCGCTAAGCTCCAAGATTTGAATCTCGTGGGATAACAGTTAAGATTGCGCATCATGGCGGTTTAAGCTGGCCAGAATCGATCTGTCTGCAACGATCCTCGAGCTCATGCAGCCGAATTTAGAACCTGGCGCTCGTCGAACGGGTAGGTGTACACTCTTCGGTCTGGCTGGTGGCAATTTTAGGGAGATCGGTCGCTTTGTTTGGAATTTATTGGCCTTGAGCGGCGGGGTCAATTGGAAGGTCTCCAGCCTTCCCTTCTTTTATAGTGTTCAGTACTCGATGGAAAGAAAGTCGACTAAACGGCGTTTAAACCAGCCGTGGGACACAGAGTGGCTATGAACGAAAGGTAAGGGAGCTTTTTGTATCAATATTTCGCGTGATCATGATTTTTTTTCCCTTAGCGTTGTAGATTCGAATACATGTGATAAAATTCGATCAATAAGGGCCCGAATCGCATGTAATAATGCAAGAAATATCGATTTTCGCTATCTTAAAGGCTACTAGTACCGATAGACAAACAAGAAGACTTCATATCTTTAAGACTTTTTGCATTTATTTGGCATCAGATAATACACTAATAATTCTAGTATATTCCCACCAAATGACCTCTGAAGCCCGAACCCACAAATAGTGCGCTTGGGCTGCCTGTGGTAAGCCTAAAAATTCTGGATTTTTGCAGTTTGAATCAAATATATTGGTAGTAACAGCAAATTTTATTTGCAGATTCATCAGGTGTACCTACGTTCAAATCTTCCCAACAGGCAAGCTATTGATGTTTTTCCCTAAAAATAGTTATTATAATAATTATATTTAATCTGTAGGTCAATTTATTGTTCTAGAATAGGTCATTTCCAATTTTTAAATTGCAATTTTTATTTTTATAACTACAGAAAGGTGTGGAAAGAGCAGAATTTCTCCTGAAGCAAGCACTACATGAAGATGAGAGAGGGAGACCAAATGATGCATTGCCTCTGTATACTGATGCTGCTGAACTCTGCATTGGAACAGTGAGTTGCAGTCAAATTAGATGAGGCCAAGGAGGTGGGGGAGGGGCCGGGGGATGGGGATGAGGATGAGGTACACTGTAAAATCCTAAATATATCTGTAGGAGGGATATAGATGCCTTCTGGAAAATCATAATGCCTCACTTAAACAGAATGCTTATATTATTATTTTATTTATTCATTGTATTAGCTTGGCCTATTACTGAACAATGAATAATAAATGCTTAATAGGCAGGGGTGCCACAACAGCGTTGAGCCAATTACGTTGGTTCCAGAGCTTAAGAGATATATGTATGAAACAGTAAAACTTCATGTGACAAATTATTAACAAAAAATAACAGAGATGGACAGACACGTTATGTGAAACGTTACATGACGGACAGACGGTTTTCTATGATCGAGGGTTCTCTGGGTCGTAGTTATGTTCTAAGGCATCCATGTACAGTGTAGTACTTGCACATGATGGATTTGTACTATGTGTCCTAGGCTGTTGAGGTGTTAACAGGCATCTGATCATAGAACCTATCATATTCAGAGAACCATGTACTGTTCGTATTGTTGAACGCTCTCTAACTTGTGATTTAAACTTTGCAGAGCAGTGGTCTCCCTGATGATGATAAATTGAAGAAAAAGCTTCAGCTTCTTGCTAAACAGGCAATAGAGAGGTAGGTCATACAGTCCAGGTAGAAGTAGAAAAAATAATAAAGCAAACATACATCTTGTATTTGACAGTGTATGATGTATTATACACTGTAGTCATAAGGGGATAAATAGGAATTCCATTCTTGGATCTGTTCAGTTATGGATTATGAAGTCAAAGACTGTGATAAGCTGTACAGTCTGTTTTTACATGATGTTATTATTTTTTAATTCCTGATTTTGCAAAGATTAAACTGGAATTAAACATTCATACAACAAAATCAATAGTCTGTTTTTAATTTGTACTCTAGTGTGGGTGTTTCTTTCTTAAATAGGAAGAAACACCATTATAATGAATACTAGAGAGCAACTTTGATTGTTCAAGGATTAAAAAAGACTTTTTTGTCTGCTTCCCTTATTTTAATGTACTAATAACTCTTGTAACATGGTGACTTGTGGTTGTTTAAATGTTGTGATTTTTAGCATCAATTCCTCTTTAACTGAAACCTAACTGGGTAGATAATTAGATGTGAAATCAGCTATATCATAGTGACATGTGGTTTATTTGGATCTTTAGCAGCATGCAAAGAAAGTCATGTCTGTTAGCCGAGGGCTAGTGGATTTTGCTATCAGGCTAGTGATTTTGTTCTTAACTTGCTTGATGGGCAAGTGCTGTTTTTTTGGGAAATTCAAATTACAGAAGGATTGTAATCAATCCTGCTAATCAAAAAGGGTTTGGGGGCTAATTGAAATGACTTGTGGGCTGATACATGCTAGCTACAGCTTGCCCGAATGGCAGGCTGTAAAACAGTCTTTCTTTGCACCCTGCGTTAGAACAAAATTACCAAATAGATCGAAGCAATTTTCTGTGTTACTACTTGATTTTATGGTCATCACATTTTTTTACCCCTCTTCATCACTATTTTGAATTCATTTTTCAGCCCAATTTTTTCAACTTGTATTCCTGTAAAAAATAACAATTTGTATTATTGTTTTTGAATCTCAGAGCAGAAGCAATAAAGGGAATCTTAAACATCAGACAAAGCAATTCAGCAACACCAGGATCATTTTCAGTTATTCAAAGTGTTCAAGGCCTCTCCCTCAGTTCTAATGGTGAATCAACACCTGGGAGTAGCACAGGGGAGAAACGACCTCACCTCACTGCTAAGGAACTGGAGGTTTTAAAGTACGAATGTTTAAATTGAGTGATAATATCGCTAATGAAGCAATGAATAATTGCATTTTCAACTTGTGAAACAAAAACATTTTTTTTTTACATTATAATGTGTGCACCAGTTCCAAAAATTATCCATACCTCCCCCATGGAAGGGATTTTTCATTAGACCCCCCCCCCCCACCACCCCTCTGGAAATTCCAGTCAAGCTTCATACATTTTACTTAAATTTCAGGCCTTTGAGAACCCCCCACCCCTAGGAATTTCCTATCCCTTCTGTGGGGGAAGTAGGAATATTTTCTGGAACCACACAATGTAAAGAAGATCATCACACTAAAAAATGCAACTTGCACACTGTAGGCAGTTGCAAAACGAAAGCCTGAAAACATCCAGACTTGGATTCCGACCTGGATGAGTTTAGCAAGCTACATTGTAACGGGAAGCTGGTCATCAATTGGTTAGAGCACTGCACCAGTACCGCAGAGGTCAGGGTTGGAATCCAGGCAAATATGAATTTTTCAGGCTTTCTCTTTGCAACTTTCTATCAAAGTGCATCATAATTAAACTGTGATGACCTTCTCTTTACATTTTATTTCTTCATCCCACAGTTCCAATAATTAAAATTCACATATTCGTTATTTCATTCTTCCATAAATAAATAAATGACATTTCAATATAATTATTACTTATAACAAAAGTTAAAGTTACACATAAGTTGTTTACCAACAAAGTGAAAATCAACCTACACGATTACAACTGTACATACACAATTTCACCATAAATGTACTGTTTAAATATGCAGTTTAACTCTTTCAGGAAAACATCCTATATCAATGGCAAATTATTTCCTCCATGGCTAGACATTGACCTCAAAGAAAGATTTGCTTATCCAGATTACTACAGGTAAGAATTCTGGAAATAGATTATTAAATACCCCCTTTTTCCATACTTTTTTTGGTTGTCAGTAGTGTAAGGAATCTTTGTTCTCAGCTGATTTCCTAACTGTTTATGTGTTTTGATGTTTATTAGTGACAAAGATGGGCAACTTGCACTTTCACAAAAGCAAAGGGCACGCTTTGCTAAGTGGTTAAGGTAACCTGTTATTTCAGTTTAAAGCTATTTCTTGTTGCAGCATTTTAAAATAATTTGAAAGGACAAAGCCCAAGGACTGTAACCTTAGGATATTTGTTCTGTGATTAATGAAAACAACACCTTAAGGGTACCAGGTGACATGCTTTGACTCACCCCCTGACCCTAAACCTACACGTAGTTTCTCCCATGCTATATGCTATGCATACAGACACTTCTCCCTGCATTCAAACATAATGAATAATTTTGGTCTGTCTGCTTTGATCCTTTGTTTTTTACTCTTTCTATCATTGCGGAGCTTTCTAATTTGCTCACCAATGATGGAACGCAATTTTTAGAACATTTAGCGTCTTCTGTGTCGCTTATATACACTACCAATCTTTAACCATATTTAACAATAATGTTTTTACTGTATGGCAGGCCAAGTGAGCTGTGTGAGAACCCAGAAATGATCTATGCTATCTCCAGTTTTAGTATTAAGCAGGTGACTGAATTAAAATAGTTTTTGATTAATTAATAGCAAGCTAAATTTTAAAATGTAAGACCAGTACAATGTATCAGATGAGGACGCAGAAAAACAATTATGTTAAGGGTTTAATCTGTCCAAAACAGCTAATTTCCACAAACAACTCTTACATGTATAGATGTTTTAATGGACTGCAATGACATTGTCATCATCACTATCTGAGAATTCTAGAACATATTGACACATGTATACCGGTAACGTTCTATAACTTGTTAAGTGTACATATATAGCATGTACATGTAGATTAAAGCAAAACACGTACTATTTTGTTTGTTTCGCTATTGCTATCATCCTACTGTACATTGTAAAAATATTTTTGTTACCACACTTCTTTCATTTTGTTTTAATATTTCTGTTGCAGACTATCGTTTCAGATTGTTCATTTCTTGCTTCACTGGCCATCAGTGCTGCATATGAACGAAACTTTAAAAGGAGTCTAATAACCAGGTATCAACATAATCGTTGTTGCAAACGAAAAACTTGGGGTATAAAATTATATTGTCTCAATTTTGTACAAAAAATGTGCTTCTTAACTATCAGAAAAGTGCTCACCTTTGCTCTTGGAAAGTATGGGTTTGGTATTAGCCAAGCATTCGTACATTTTTATTCTTTCTACCACTGCGTGCAATTTGACGCAAAAGGACTTTCACCTTCATTTTAGGTAACATCTGACATCTCATGGGTGTGTCCCGAGTATAGATGCGTTGACAATCCTAAGGCTACATCAGAGGAGACTTTTCCGGATTTATTACATTTTGGGTATTCCGATTCGCAGGCGTTTATACTTTGAACGTATTCGGATTCACAACCGTTTACACATAATTTATCGATAAATCCGGGGAGCTATAGCAACGACGATTACGAAGACAACGAGAACGTCAAAAACCTATAGGTTTAATAAGACAAACGACAAATTTGGTACGTGCAGCACGCGTTTGGTATATTTCTTTGCTATCCTTGCCCCCCCCCCCCCCTCCCTGCACGACAAAGACGTGAAATTTGGTCAAATTTATTTATGCGACATTGTTTGGAGGACGTAAACACAACACAATGAATTTCTTTTTCTATTTCCAAACTTGGGTGCGGTCCTCAAGAATTCAACTCCAATTAAATTCACATTACATTTGCCATTTTGAAGAGTGTTCGAATAAACGCGGATAAAGTTTGAATAAAAGCGAATTCATCTTAATAGTGACGTTTTTGCTGCCCTCGCTGTTGTTTTTGCTAAAGCACATCAACGTGACACTTCCATTTTACGCTCTAATCCTTCTTTCAAGCACTCTTAACAGTTGTTCTGTAATCTGATGAATTAGATCTTTATACATGCATAACCAGAAAAATAAAAAATATTTCTAGATGAAGCTTTGACAATCCTTGGTATCCTTGGAACGTTATATTTCATTTACCTGTTTGGATAAGTTAGCTTTTTCCTTTCTCTCTTTCAGTATCATTTACCCACAGAATCGTGCCGGAAAGCCCGTCATTAATCCATCAGGCAAATACATGATCAAACTGCGTATTAATGGGGTTGCAAGAAAGGTACATGGCTATGACTGTTGTTAACATAAAGCCCCGGTCAACCGGTCTCACAACTCCCTCAACAAACCCGAACAGACAATCTTGCTTATCCCTGCGCTGCGAAAGGAGGGAATGAAAAAGGGAATATTTAGAACCACAAAGTAAACTTAAATCTTTGACTTTACTCGGACATTATATTATGATCAATCAAGGAGGCCTGTTTTATACTTTTCATGTTTGTAGTCTGAGAACGAAATCGTAAAGTCTGGCATTGTAACTTGACTGACAGTACATCCGCGAATTTATTTCTGTTTTATTCATGACAGGTGGTTGTCGATGATACTCTACCAGTAGGAAGAGATGGCGAACTGTTATGCTCTTACTCAAACAATCGCAATGAGATGTGGGTCAGTTTAATTGAAAAAGCTTATTTAAAGGTACGTCTCTTACTGACGTTAGGACGCTTAACCCTTCTAGTAAGTCCCAAGAGTGACCAACATCAATTTTCTCCCAACACAATCAATACATCGTTAAGAGGAAAGATTATGAGAATGGATAAAGTCATCACCAAAGGAAATGTTTGATCTTTATCAATTTCTCCCGAGTATTAAATTCCTAAGGAAAATGTACAGAGAGTAGTCTGGAGAATTAGTAAAAGATTCAATATCCACAACCGAAAAAAAAAGGGTTAAAGGGGTTGTGTCATGGCTGTCTTCTTTATTTTGTTAATAATTAGCAATTTTTGAATTCGGCGTTCGTATCATCTGAAGAATTACGGAGATCGAGGAGGGTGATATCTGCCGAGGCGCAACGCGTACGTGCTCTCTCAGACACTCAGACACTTTTTTTGCAGGTGATGGGAGGCTATGACTTTCCTGGTTCCAATTCGGTAAGTTATTGTTTTTAATCATCTAACTGATGTGACCGTGAAAATGGCCTGATGTTCCTAAAAACAACCCTAGGCCTACCTTCTGACGATTGTTAATCGAGCTTGGCACGCCAAGCCTGTAAACAACCAAATTAGCTGACAAACGAGGGATTTTGGTCGTGAACGCAATTTATATGGCTTTTACAACAGCGTTTCAGTACTGTGCGATTTTGCCTATTTTTATCTTTTAGCGCAAATTTATCTGTAGAATGATCGCAGAGTTGACCCTCTCCCAGGAGATGGCAAAAAGTCGACCCTGCTAGAAGGGCTCCCCAAGCAACCAGTCAATTTTGCTCTTCCCCCACCCCAAGGGTAACTCTACTACTCGTGTAAATTAAACTTGTCGGCATAGTGGGGTAGGAACGGGGTTAACTCTTCAGGGAAGAGTTACGCGTCCTCCAAGCAAGCGGGATCTAAGACGGATTTTATAGGCCAAGAAGATTTGATTACTGTGTTTTAGGAACCGTTGGAACGTAAAACCATCTAGCCCCGGTTGTTAAAAAGTTGGGTAGCGCTATTCAGCAGATAAACCACTATCCAATAGATAAGTAATAGGGAAATCGTCTTCATTGTCCTGTAAGTAATAGCCTGCGTGGCAGGTGCAAAAAGGGGAGGGAGAGCGGGGAGGGAGAAAAGCGCGAAAGCGGGGCCCTCTCTCCCCAATCCCCCTCCCTTTTTCCCTTCCTTCCTATCCCCTACCCCTTTCGATGCCTGCTACGCAGGCTAGTAAGTAATGATTTGTCTTTTGGATAGCCGTTAATCATCTAAAAACAACTGGGGTCTGTAGACGCATTTTACAACTGCTACTTTTTCTTGGAAGGAGGAATATTTTACAACTACCCGTTGAATAATCTTTGTTGTAATATGTAGCGCCCGAGGCCTTGGCCAAATGTCGAACTTTTCATGAGAGGAACCAAACTTAGTGAGTTAAGTTTATGAAAAGTTCGAAGTCTGGCTCAGTTAAGTTCGTCTGAATGAGTTTGGATCGTCCGACACGTTCGATCCGTCTATAAGATCGACTCCTGGGCAAACGTCGATCATCGCATGCGACGAAATAAACCAACAGATTTTAAACATTTGTATGGTAATGCATATTTAGCCTCGTCCGGGAGACAATTTATTAAAATTGAGCTTAAATTGCTTTTTAATTGGTCTGATTCAGTTGATTGGTTCGACGCGTTTTAAGTTCGATGTCTGACCCAACAGACGATCTCAATTTTATTAAAGTCGAAATTTGGTTAAAGGCGTGAAGAGTTCGACGTTTGCCCTAGGCCTAAGTCAGTTGTGTGTGTGTGTTGTTTGATTTTAGAGTATTGACCTTCATGCTCTGACGGGCTGGATTCCAGAGCGCATGTCCATCAAAAGGAACGATCCCAAATTTAATGAGAGTATGCATTTTGATCGGCTCCTGAACGGACTGAGGAAAGGTGAGGGCCATGTGATAAACTCTGAAACACTTATATTGATTAAGATTCAGTTTCTCATCCCCGTATCAGAGCAATATCGGGGCGAGACTGAAGAGACGAAAAAATGGAAATGCGAGGCTTGCTTTCCAAACGTGATGTGAAAATAAAGGACAGCTTGACCAGAGATTTTGTTTGACAGCAATTAAGCTATCGCGCGAATTTAAAGAGTACTATTTGAGTATGTGTTGGCTATTTCAAGTTGCAACAGTTTTGGTGGGTTGTGTTATCATTTTTTTTTTGTTCAAGAAGTAGGGCGTAAACCACTAAGAACTTTCCCATTAGGGTATCAAAAACAGCAAAATGGACCCGAATATTTTCCTCTTTGAGTAATATATGTTCTTACCTCATGATCTATCGCGACCTGCTTCCATTTACGCAATCGGCAAACACATGATCATGAAACTAATCAGTTTTTTTACTTGACCACAGGTGATTGTCTTATCACGGTCGCAACGGGGCCCTTAAGCGACAGCGATGCTGACCGAGCAGGGCTGGTATCTACTCACGCCTATGCCTTGCTGGATATGCGAAAAATCCAGGTAAGTCGTGATTCGTAAAAGGGTTTTGTGAAGTTGAACTGATTTGCCCAGCACATTGTCTAACTCACTGGCGGACAGGTATTGAATCCCGATTAGCCTGCTCAGCTGACGGTGTGGTCTGGCGGGCGCGATCCCTCCCATTGCCCCTCCCCAACAAAACCGCCAGTTTCGCTACGTAACTGAGATGTTCCCGGTATATATGGGTATTGCGGAAGTGTGAGATGAATATGGTTATTGGGCAAGTTCCTTTTTTTGCGTTCGTTTCGGTCTATTTTACACGTGAAAAAAAAAAAAAAAATGACGAGGTCAATATCCCATATCAGTATCAATAGCCATCGTAACCAGACACGTCCGAGAGGGCAGGATCATTCTTTTCGCTCTGGTAGCCAATCAAAACACAGGATTCACTACATCATTCCAGCTCAAGGAGCTATTCATATAATAATACTCATTATTAAAAACTGAATCATTGGATAATGCAATTCTAGAACTCTGATTGGCTTAGCCATCATGGTATATGAGCCATTATACCATGCTCTCCACATGTGGTAACTGCACACATCTGCTCAAAATTAAAAACAAGCTGAAAATCGGTTGTTTCCACAAATATAGTCGGGAAGAATTCTCGATATTTTGTGGGCGTTTTTAATAAAACAATTATTCCACTACGCGCTACTCGCCTCGTTGGCTTTCACCCATCTCATATCCAATGCGCACTCATGGAATAATTGTTAATTGATAAAGAGGCTGTGTCACGGAATTTATCAAAATTCAAAGAGTGGTAACTACCACCAAACTGAGGGAAACACAAAAATAACCGCTCAAAATGTTGAAATAAGAAGGTATAAACAACACAGCAAATAAAAAAGGTGGCACGGATGGACAAACTGGAAGAAGATTTAAAAAACGAATTGGAATTGCGATTTTTGAAACTTGTTAGCCTAACAGTTTTTCAACATTTTTTTTTTTTTTGTAACGTTTGATATAATGCTTGGAAGACATAATTGCTTGACATGAAGCTGATTTCTCAAGTTCGATAGTCAGTAAGGATGCATAATTGGCATTATAAACACAATGAACTAAACAGCTGTGACGACACATCGCCTTTAAACTTGGAATTACTTATCGACTACTTGGAATTACTTATCGACGACCACCTTTTTTATATCTTCCGAATAGGTATAGCTGCAGTTAAATGTATTTTACTTGTTAAATTTATATGCTGTGATTTTACTGAGTGTGATTATGTATTCGCTTTCTCATAGGGGCATCGTCTGCTTCAATTAAAAAATCCCTGGAGTCATTTGAGATGGAAAGTATGAACCGTAGTACTGGCAATAATTAGATTAGCAGCCACGAATTATTCACTCTGTACACACCTTTAGTTTCGTTGCGATAGACGGTTACAAGATTTGTGCGTGCCAGTATACAAACACTGTTTCAACTTTACAGTCGTCCCAACAATGCAGTCGCTCAATTTAGATTTTTGGTCGTCACTTCGAGTGAACACCCAAAACTACAACATAACAAGGAGAAGGAAAGACCAGGTCATGTGACCTCGAAGGGTGGGAAAACAAAAACAGGCTACCCAACCGTTACATAAACTCATATTCTTTGTTATTGAAACAACTGTCACATAATTTATAATCAATTTCCAAAGTTCAAGGATGGAGTCACTCAGTCTGGTATTATTTAGGCTTGGGTTAGTTTAATAAAATGGTTCCATGAAGGAGCCAATTAAATCTCTTGGCATCAGTAAAGGTAAGTTAGAAGCAGTCATTGCGGTTAACTCAGGTTGTCTGTTTACAGGGAAAATTTTCTGAATTAGATTCTACCAGCTGGACACCAGAACTTCAGCGAGCTCTAAACTATGACAGGAAGAGTGCTTTGCAGATTGACAATGGTAAAATACTTTTAGCGTGTGCTTATTGACTTGAATTGCCTGTGTGATGATCTGTTAAAGAATAAGTCGATATTAATTTTCTCCAATTGCATTAAAGCTTGATTATTATCTCAGTTGATTCTTGGTTTTGGTTTGAATTTCTTGTTGCAATGTTGTTTTTGTCGTTGATGATGATGATGATGACGATGATGATGGTGATAATGATGATGACAAGTTATTTTCACGTGTGAAGACATCATGTTTTCGCGCGAAAGCTCACCTGGTATTTCATTGGTGGTTAAATAAAAATATAATAAAGACGATGGTGGTGGTGGGGAAGACTATGATAGAGATCGGAAAATTTTCTTGACCCGAGTGAAAGGTTATCCATTCTTCAAATTACATTTAATCTTTTTCTAGGTGTTTTCTGGATCAATTGGGAGAGCCTTATGCAATTTTTTGATGTGATTTACATGAACTGGAATCCCAAACTCTTCAAATACCGCTTCTCTCTTCACTCGTAAGTACAGCTTCTTTTCGCAGCTTATTTTTGACAGAACTTAGTTATGATGTGTTTTCAAGGATATGCGTTGAATGGTTAATTTAAAGATGACTTTCAACTTTCCTTCCTTTCTTTTACATACAAACCCGTGAGCAAATGCAAAAAGAGCTTGGGATGATAAAATGGAAATCGCGGTAGCTTGTTTCAGTCGTTTGTTTAGGGTTTGAGAATGAGGTGATTGGATTCAGTCACCTTGCCTTTCATTGCCTTAGTCATTTGTGATTTTTCATTACCGTTAGCACAATTTTAGCACGGCGTTGTTAAAACCAGAAGTTTTCAAGATGGAGTCGCGATGAAAAAAGAAGGGAAGCGTTTCAGAAGTATTGTATATAGGAATGGGTAAATTTGTTGTGTTTCAAAACTTAAATTGCACTTCTGTCTTCCTACAGGACGTGGACGGCTGCTGAAGGACCCAAGAAGGATGTCTACAACGTTGGTCAGTGCATTTTAAAACATCTTTATTTTTGCTTTGGTAAACTAATGCCGACAAACAAAACGTACAGATTCACTGCTGAATTTCTTTATTTCAGTTAGCAGCCAGGCATTGCGTTTATGAAGGTGCTGTGGCATGCAACTTTCCAATAGTAATTTGATTTTAATTAGGCTGGTTTTTACTAGGGAAGAATTCGTAGTCGGAGTCGTTATTAGGACCGTGGAAACAGGTTCCGCTATGATTCCGTTATGATCCAGTGAAAACAGATTCCGCTAAGTTACAGGAGCAGAAGTGGTAGAACTAAACCAAACACTTCTCGTGGGGACGAGAATTGTGATTTCTTCATTCTTGTGCCTCTGCGTACCGCTTGAACAATCTGCTTTTCGCTATAAAAAGGTCGTAAACGACGGACTCATAACTGCGGAATCGAAAGAATATTGATACGTTGGACAGAGCACAAAAACCGCAAGACATGCGCACTGTCGATACGTTGCGTTTTTTGCAACTCCTTCTCCGCCGAGCTCATGATTCCGCTTACCACTCCATATGGTTAATTTTTACTTAATGGTAAGCGCTCTTACGACTCTGACTCCAACTCCATCTCCTTTGTTACTGGTGAAAACCAGTCTGAAAAATGCATAATAATACGCATACTAATGGTGCACATGATTAACAGGTGACAATCCTCAGTACAAGTTGGAGTTGTTGTCCGCTGACCAAGACACTGTTGTTTGGATTCTTCTCACTCGACACATAACACAAAAGGTACATGCAATGTCGTGGTATACGATGTATTGTTATTTTAAAAGATTTTTTGTAACGCTTTTCGATCGTTTACCCGGGGGTTGGTAGTTTGTTAAATTGTGAAAAAAGTGATATGCTCCTCTGACTCTCGAAAACCTTCTGATAGGATGACTTTGCAGAGAATAAGGAGTTTATAACAGTTCACGTGTACAAATCAGATGGCGGAAGAATATTTTACCCAGGTAACTGCGTTCATTACTCAGATTTCTGTCAGCTTTTTACTCCACCAGCTTTTAGATTTCAGTTCCCCTTCTTCTAAACTTGGGTGTCGTCTAATAGGAAGCACTTTCGAGCGTGTTTTTTTTGTTTGTTTGTTTGTTTTTGATGTTGCTGTTTTTTAATCGATCCTAGTTAGCAGACGTTTTTTAACCAATTTTCAAACGAGAAACAGGTCGAGCGCGAAGTCCACTGCAGGCTTTTAAAATGATAAATTTTAAGGCACGCGGACCTAACTTTCTTTGTACCTCCCTTGCTCTAGATAACCCGTTCTTGGAAGGTACAAAAATAAACAGTCCGTTCTATCTGGCCAAACTCAACGCACCTAAAGGAACAAAGCGATTCACGCTTGTTGTCTCTCAGTACGAGAAAACAAACACCATTCACTACACCCTCAAGGCAAGTACCTACATATCAAAAACGGTTTCAACGTTTTCTTCTATCTATCTGTCTGTACTCTTAGTCCTTAGTGTAGTGTCTCAAATTTGAAAAAATTTATACCTCTTAAGTCAAAATGAAGAAAAATTACATATTCAAACATTACCCCCTCCCCCATTCCTTTGGGAAATCTGGCAGTGTTTTTCCCGCCTTCTGTCACGCCACTTTCCAACATGTTTTGCTGTATAATACATATATAATACATATATATATAAGCTGTATAATACATGGTGATTTTTGTAGTGGGTTCTGTTAAATTTAAATGGATTTTTTGTTCAACTGCAGGTCTTTTCGTCAACTGAATTTCGTTTGTCCCCAGTTCCTATTCCATACACAGTTGAAAAGCAGGTTAGTGTATTGTCTAACTGGGTTGACTCGTGGCTGTGTGTATAGCGAAATTGTGATGCCAAACGCGCCTCCACTGACCAATGTTGCAACAGTAGGGTTTTCCAGTGAAACGACTCTTCAAGGTGGTTGTAAAGTCAGTTGAACTTGGCCGTATCAGTATTACATCAAATTACATTCACTGAACATTAAATCCTTTGTATTTCTTTTTTTAATGGATCTTGAACATTGTTTAACGAAAAGTGGTTATTTAAACTGAGTTTGGTTATCTTGCTGACCAGGTCTCTTATTTGTTTGTATTGTAGGTAACAGGTGAATGGAAAGGCACCTTGGCCGGCGGATGTCCTAATTATTCATCACATTCCAATAACCCAGTGTATCGTCTACAGCTGCAGACATCTTCTAACGCAGAAACAGCTGAAGTTCTACTGAAACTACGTGGCCCCAAGTAAGTTTTGATTGCCAAGACACCGCGTTTCATCAAAAGAGGGCGAATTTTGAATGGCGCGTTTTAGCAAGACTGTTGCTTTAAGGGCTAGAGGCATTGTTTGGGGTTTTCATGTCAGTATTGTTTTGTTAGCTAATTAAACAGCTCGTTTTAGTTGAGATCTTCGTGACGGCCCTTCCCTCTGTCGAACTTTTTATTGTTTTACTGACATGATGAACCCACACGAACTGTTTGTATGTCACTTGCATTCGCCTCCTCATGATTGAACGTTGTCTTGTACTCTGCCAGGATTGATAGTAGAATATTTTATTCTCTTTTAGACAATTTTCTGTGGGCGTCATTATTCGTTCTGTTGACCGCGCGTCTGATGGAAAGCCTGTGTACGAGGCGTACTCTGATACGTACAGGTAAATTTAATACTGACCGTCACAGTTATCCAATGAGATGTGATTACAGTACGATACCCTCATTAAAAAGTCACGGTTACTTGTGTCTCAGTAAAGCCATTATGAAACTACTGGGCCACTTCGTGAGATAACAGTAGAAGGTCAAGAACTGACCTTACCGGCAGAAGAGAGCCCGCTGGATGTTTACTGACGAGTTGAACTCGTGGCTATCCCTATATATATAGCGGCCAGTTACCAGAGTCCCGGTCTAAATCATTGAATAAAAGATTCTCCTTTCCCTGACGTCGGTTGCTTATAGAAATTGTTTGACTGTACGGTAATTGTCAGGGCGAGACTTGAACCCGGGTCCATCGGATTGCGAGTACAGTGCTCTGACCCCTCGCTCAGGCTACTCCCGATAGGAGGGGAAAGCGAGAAAAAACACGCACCGTTCGCATCCCTTCTTGTTCGATTTTTCCTCCTTTTCCAGGGGCACCCAATGGATCTGTTCCTCAAAATATCTGTTCTTCATGCAAATTTTTGCTGGCTGGGAGATGTGGAAGAAATAATAGTCCTTGGAAGGAAAGTGTTGCTGGGAAAAAGATAATTCAGGGTGTCAGAGGGGATTTGAAGTCTAGAATAGCTGCTACGGGTTACTTGTATGGGTTGCTTACCACTCAAGATCTGGATTGGGCCCTACGAAACTTCCCAGTAAGTCAGGTTGCAGGTTGTAAGGTTGCTGGCTGGGAACTCTTCCATCAGTCTTGCTGGGAGTGACGAACAGATAATTTTTTTCCAGCAATCTCCCAAAATGCTTAAAATAGTCTCAGAAAACTTTATTCACGCTTTGTTGTTGTTTTTAGGTCTTTTTCTCAAAATTTCCCGTTGGGTGCCCCTGCTTTTCCTTCGCTTTTGATTCCTCTTATAGGTTTGGCCAATGTCTTGGATCAGACCCATTCGTGTTCAAAGACATTCAAGATAACGCGGCATTATTTATAACTATTTAATCTCAAGCACGAGAAGAGAAATTGTGTGGCCAAAGTGATATTTCCAAACATTGTTACAAATTTTCGTAAAATCTGATATATGTAGGTCCTTATTTGACATATAACTGGTTTGTAATTTTATTTCCATTCATATCTCAAACGCATTGCGTACGTTCTGTTTCAGGCCTGGCTTTTACGTACAACAGCTGACCAAAGTGCCCGCCGGAACATATGACTTGATTCCGTCAACATTTTACCCAGGACAAGAAGGGCCGTTCATACTAACGATAGCAGCGAGCTGTAGAATAGGACTTGGAAGAAAGTAGAAATGTTGCTGTGTTACACAAGTTAACCAAATTCATCCCTTACGAACTGGTCACCAAATTGAGTGAACTATAAAAATAACTGTCGCTTTGAAAGTGTAAAGTCACTGTTAAATAATACGGGTGCAGGGGCGGATCTAGGGGGAGGGTGCAGGGGGTGTGCACCCCCCCCCCGAGATTACCTGCGGTTTTCTAATACAACTGGTATTCTGCCAAAAAAAAACTATGTGGTTTATTGGTGCACCCCCTCCTAAAAAAAATCCTGGATCCGCCCCTGGGGTGAACAAACAAACTTTTGAAAACTGTTCAGCCGGCTACTTTTGTTTGAATTGTAAGGCGCAGGAGATATTTTTATGTCAGGAAGCAGTGATCTCGCCATTCAGAACTACAGTCAAAACCCCGCTTTACGGACAGCCACTTAATACAGACACGTCATTATTACGGATAGTCTGCTTCATCCCTTGGAAAAGAAAGCCCTAACATTGTCTCTGACACCACGTTAATACAGACACTTTCTATGGCCCCCTTAGTGTCTGTTTTTACGGGGTTTGACTTTACTTCCTTTTCAAAGCAACTAAGTTGCAAAACTAAAGAAATACACTAAACTGCTTCGATCCATGCCCTTTAAGATTGTCAGTAGTACAGGCGTGGTTTCTTGGCTCGTGGATGAGTCGCAATGAAGAACAGAAAAGGGAAGTGAGGAGACTGGAAAATCGAATTGTGGGGTCGCTTTTGGGAACTAATTTTGACCCAGTTTTCCACTCAAGCTCTTAAGAGCGAATCCATGCAAAAATCGACCAAAATCGCCGATTCGTGGCAAGGCTAAAAAAAATCAAAATCGCTCTTCTTTTGCAGACTGGTAGACTTTAGCAAGTATACAAACGCTATGTATTTTTTTCTTCGAAAGATCTGTTCGTTTTCGAGAAAAACGAAGAAAACCGTTTCAAGCCCCACCGTCGATTTCGCAAGCCAAAAACAGGGTTGAAATTCATCACGATTTGCTGGACTCGCGTTTCAATACAACCGTGCTAGGAAGAAAAATTATTGCTAAAATTTTAAGTTTAACTCGTCGTTGATCAAAATATCTAATATTTTTAGCATTACAACCGTCTGAGTAATTATAAAAAAACTAAAGCGTACGGCTACCTGATGTTTACCCACGAAAGGTCGTTGAAAAAAACGACGACTTTCATCATGTGCCTTTGATCAGAATTTTTTCAGATTGAAGGGAAATACACTACAGGCATCTAACGTTTATGTTATGTAAAAATTATTTTGGGGAAATCACTTTGACCCTCTCAGAAATTATTTGAAAATCGTTTTACAGACAACATAAAGTAACGCCATCTTTAACATATGCGTGACCATCGTCAGTCGACCAGGTAAAGATCATCAAACGTCTGTCCTAAAAAGTCTTGCTAATATTCACAAACAAAGTTCTAAATGTTAAAGTACTTACCCTATTCTTTGTTTCAGGTCTACGTTTACGGCAAAATGTTTCCCGTTGCCATCTGTTCAAGTTTGCCATTCTATATTAAACTCTGTTTGAGACTCATAACCAACACGCATGCTTTCTAACGAAGTTCGCTTATGTTAATTCAACACGTAGTAAACCCTCTCTTCCTTATCTGTCAACAACGTTTGTCTCAAAATGCTGCTGGATACCGCAGAAGGAAGCGGCAATCTGAAGGATAAAGCGCCCCACGGGCGTTTTGTGACTCAGTATGCAAATTACTTTCAACAATGATATCGGATTACAGCTGTCAAGATCCCGGGGACCGGGGTCAGGATCCGTTAAAAGCTGGCGAGAAGCAAACGTAAAACATGCGTGTAATATAAAATTTTTGAAAATGAAGAATTTAATTGGTAGCCTCGCTGAAGATTTTCATTGCTTCGAGAAGTCGGCAGTTATCAAATCAAAAGATGTCTTAACAAAAAATTGTGTACATGTTTTCTTCCCATCTTCACAGGTAGAACTTCCAGTTGTTGGATGCACGTGGGTAATCGTGGCCTGCACGTGCGTTATTTCAGAGTGCCTTCTTAATAAAGGACAAAATTAATGTAATTTCTGCTGTGCTAAATGTCACTTTTCGTAAATTGACACAAACACTACGTTTTTTTTTGTTAGTACATTTGAAATAAGACAATTTCCAAAACAAAAAAGGGTACATTCTTCTCGAAGAAACAGCGGAGACAACAGAACCTCGGCCATGAAGGATCCGATGGTGCCTTGCGATCTTTAACCTGTGCCGAGTAAGACCAGGAAGCCAGTTTTGCGAGATTTCGAAATCCATTTTGTCTCAGTGACATGAGGGACGGACCATTAGAAAACTTGGTCCGTCCCTAAGAGATTTCTCTTCGTGATCCCCAGTGTCCTGCGTTCTTGTAACATTCTGCAAGCGCATCTGCTACTGAGCTTGAAGTCAATGGCTTCGTCATTGGTCTGCTACAATTTGAGATTGAACTAAGGATACCCAGAGTTTTTCAGCGTCTTCTGGCGCAATCTCCTACCCGTCCGTCCGTAGGGCGGGTAGGATAGAACCCTGGGAACGAGTTTGCAATCTCTCCAAGAGTTGCACGACCACTTGTTTTGCTGTTCGAATGTGGAATCGTTGAGTTCTATCCGACGACATATCCCCCACACGTTGTCTTGAATGAGGTACAAGTCAGTCGTTTGAAGGAAATGTAAAAAAACAACAACAACAACGACGACAACAAATGCCATTAGAACTGGACTAGTACTATGATCTTTAACTTTTACAAAGTTTTATTTTATCGGACAGAATAGGTGGATTGGTGCCGTACCCGGGAGACTCTGGGTTATCTAAGAGAGTTGACAACTATGGTAAACTTTATATAGTATTCGCGGATTGAATCCCCCCCCCCCCCCATAAGTTTTCTAATGACTTAGAATATAACACAATGAATAAACCAAGAGTACCTGAACCAACAGGAATGAGGATACCGGTTTGCTGGTAGATATATTATATATTTTGTAACGTTTTGTTAGTTTCACAAGAGTATGTATATTAGGTTGCATAATACTGCAGAAGTATTTAAGGCGTGCTTGTAAGGTGTCCCAAGGGGCTAGTACACTATTTAAGGTTTGTTAAGTTATGCAAGAGCCATTCGAGGCATCTTTTTTCAACCCTAGTTTTTTTATTTTATTTTATTTACTGTTGTAATTTTCTCTGAGTTTGTAAAACTAATCATGAAATGCTGTTTTTGTAACGCTTTACGCTCGCTTGATCAATAAACGAGATGCCCGCTCCTATTCTGTGTTTTGTGATTATTTAGATTAGTTACAAAATATTTTATAATCGTTTCAGTGTGATTAGAATATAACTGAAATGTTCTTCCTCTAACTCCTTTGTCGGCTTTAACAGGTTTCCCTCTTCTTTCAATTATGTGATTGGCGATTTCCTTTGGAACTTGGCACGAATTGGAATAACTGTTCCGTCGCCATCCAATACCGAGCTCAGAACGATGGAAAGGGCATATCTTAGAGGAACTTATAGGGCGCCTTCCATCTGTCAGAACTGGCCGGCTGGATCATTGCCTGACCAGTCATTTTGAAAATGAAATGGGATTTTTCCAAGAGTTTTTGCTGAAAAACGTTCTCTTTCGAGCATACTATTTCGGATTTGACTGATCTAGCTGAAGAGTTTGATTAAAAGGGAAATTATCATTGTGACGGGAATGGTCTGGCTGGTCATTTCTCAGCTAAAATAAAGTCTGTTTCGCTTTCAATACCAAAAAGAGACCTATGCCCAGTTACGTCCTTAATAGTTTGACAGCGACAAAGTAACAATCTCAGTTGATCTCTGCTTATCCCCTCTATCAAACGAACACAGAGTACCTACTAATGACTCGAAGGAACACGAACCTTCCATAGCTTCATCGAAGAACAGCGCACACAAACAGTGTTTATGCAAAGATCTTTTTTTCTTTTTCAAGTGGGAAAAGTTTAAAAATTTAATTCGATAATGTTAATCAAATGCCTAACACGTCAATTCTCGGGTAAAATAATGTCAACTGGAGTATTTTTGAAGAAGGAGGAATATAAAAGATGAATCTTCTTCAGTGTACTGGAAGTAACGGGTGAAAGTCGGTAAAGCTCGTCACGTGTATTTCACCGGAAGTAGACCTTTGGCACACTCCGATGCAAATGAGATTAATTGAAGTGAACGGATCCACGGCAAGGAACTTTGCTTTGTTAAACTAGCGAGCTTTATTTTATAGACGGCTTTTTTAAGGTCCAGGCTTCTCAAAATTTTTAACAAGCATGAGATGTTAACTTGAAAACATTAGAGAAAACAGAGGGATGAAGAAATTACCAGAAATCTGTCACGCACCTCCACAATGCTACAATGGGAACGCACACATTCCAGCGGACTTCAGGACTACGATAGGTGAAGACGGCAAAATGAAACAACTTGCAGCTTGAAGTACAACAGATACAGGTTAAGGTGAGCGTTTCAAAAAAATTGTTCGACGTGTCAAGGCTACCAGCGTTGTAAACGGAAACCTAAAGTCCAATTGTTGGTGGTGGTCGCGTGAATCATGTGTTGGATGGCGTTATTTTATGTTGTCTGTAACAGGAATTTCAAATAATTCCTGAGAAGCTCAAAATGATTTCCCCAAAATAATTTTAACATAACACAATAGTTTGATGTTTATAGTGTTTTCCCCTTCAATCCTGAAAAATTCTGATCAAAGGCACATGATGAAAATCGGCGCTTTTTTCAACTACCTTCTGTGGTTGAACAATAGGTAGACATACGCTTTAGCTTTTTATAATTGCTCAGACTGTTGTAATGCGAAAAATATTACATATTTTGGTCAACGACGAGTTATACTTACAATTTCAGCAACAAGCTTTTTTTCTAGCGCGGTTGTTTTGAAATGCAAGTCGAGCGAATCATAGTGAATTTCAACCCTGTTTTCGGCTTGCGAAATCTACGGCGGGGCTTGAAACGGTTTTCTTGTTTTTCTCGGAAACGAACAGATCTTTCGATGAAAAAACTACATGGCGTTTGTACACTTACTAAAGTCTATTAGTATGCAAAAGAAGAGCGATTTTTCTTTTTTGAGCCTTGCCGCACTTTGGTCGATATTTGCATGGAGTTGCTCTTAATAGTTAATATAATGACAGAGACGGGGTAGCGTTCCCAAAGTAGCCCCACAGTACCATTCAAGTCCCACGCACGAAAAAACTAATAAAAGAACAAATATTTAAATTATACAAATAATATTGGTGCTAATTTAAATTGAAAATAGAAAGCTACGTGCAACGTAGTTAAAAGTTAAACATTTACCTGTGTTTGGACGTTTTTTGAGGTTCATTATTCGATTGAATGAATTTTTTCAACAAGGGTGGTAAAAGTGATTTCATTTAAGTATAATTGATAAGAACAGCTTTCTATATATCCTAACCGAGAAAACGTTGGGCTTTAAGAAATCAAATGTTTAGAAAAGTTTTCTAACCGAGAAAATTAAAATGATAAAGATATTGTACTGAATTCTAGAAGCAATAAAATCTTTACTTGTAATTTGAATTTGGCGTTTTGATGCTTGAAGTATATGAAAATATTAACCTTGAGAACGCTTCTATTTTCGTACCCTTTCTTTTCTAACCGAGAAACTATAGTCTTATAACACTGTAGTAATAGCTAGAAATAAAATGTTCACTTGAAAGTCAAACTTGTCCATCTATATTGGGTGCATCTGCTCTGCTGCAGGTCACAAAGAATCTAACGAACCGAGAGTAAATTTCCTGAGAGATGGTTGCCATGAATACTCCTATAATTTGCGATTTTTGCAAATCTTGGTAAATTTTGAGGTTTTAGTTTTTCTGTGCACTTTTCTGACCCCACTAACCAACCAATACACCTGCGCCCCTTAAAAATTTCCGTTCGAGGGATCCTGAAATACGATGTTGGATACTGATATGTCGCTGAAGCAGACGACAGACTAAAGCACTGATCAAAGCCAAGCGAAAAATTTTAATTGATTTTTTCTCCGAGCAAATCTGCTCATTTACAAATCAATGGTCGATTTGGCTCAGTAAATATTGTATTATTGTATTTACCTTTTTAATCAATGGATTTGTCTGGGAACAGAAACACTTGTTGTAACTGTGTATCCAATCAATCTCAGTTGTCAATACGTTTGCACTCAAAACCAAATGTTGATTTTTCATTAATACAAATTCGTGAATTTTATCCTTGGATCTCAAAAAGCGGTAAGTAAAGTTAAGTATTTTATTTTTAGTGTGTAATTCACCAGATTTATTATTTTATCAAACTACGTACGGTATGGTAGACTAGCACGGTAGTCGAAAGCAGATTTTTGTGGGATTTCGTGTTGGCGGACGATTTTTAAGTTTTCAATATGGTGCGACTTTGTCACGATGAACACTGCGTTTACGTATTGTAGCTAAAATCTCATAAAAACAGTAAGATGGTCATATTAGTTTTCATCTTATTTTCTCATTTTTTTTTTTTAACTGACTTTTATTTCCGGCGTCTTCATCATCTGTTCACCTAACCGTTAAAGACTTCTTTCAATGAAACGCTCAATTTTCAGTTTGCGATTTCTTGAAACGAGCAAGTGAAGCAGATAATATGAGTTTACTGTTTGGGTCAGATATTACACGAGAGTCAGCGATCATTGGCAT